GGCGTGTGGCACCGCTTTCAGTTCAGTACACCCTATCCTAAGTGTGTGTGCGTCACCCTCCGTCTCACTTCCAACTGCAGGGGGCTCGTGGACGCATGGATGGCACGAGCCAACGAAGACCCATCCATGTCGTGGTGATACCAGACCTGATCAGTCTGGCGTACCTGCATTGAACACACTGACACCAATGGTCCGCCCTCCGCTGCTGTTTGGTTTCATGGTTTTTTGCATGCTATCTCCCAAAACCAGTTTCCCTCAGCCGCTTTCCGCTGACGCTTGCTGCAGACACGTGCAAACAATGTTTTCAATGATTCAAGTGAGCCGACTCCATCGCCTTACGTTTCCCTCATCCATTTCACTGTGGATTCTGATTCACTGAAAACTCAATGTCTAAGTGTGTTGAGTGGCGGAGTTTCTGGTGGCCAAACCAGAGCAATCATGTTGTTCTATGCCTCGCGAATGCTGGACAGAACATGATTACGCGCCAAAATATTGAAAAGCCTACAAATGGAGGGCGGGAAAGAGACACTTTCCTAATCAGGGGAAAGGCTTGCCGGACAAAAGTTGCAGGTCGTCGTCTGGCGTTGCAAAGTCTCAAAGGAACTGGAGTCAGCTCGCGAGGGCAAAAAAATCTTTTGGGGTACTGATTGACTTGGTTTGCAGCTCAAGGGATAAGGAGCAGCAGGGAATGAAAATTGAGACCCTCCGAAACGATCCTTTCCAGGCAAAATGGCTGATGGCTGTGCTGAAGGGAACCATCTGGATGTTTGTGAAACCCAGTGCCACTCAGGAGACCGGTGTCTTCAAGACCTCGGAGACGTGCTAATCCTTTGGAAGCAAAAGCCTTCCTCCCATGCTCTGAAGCGGAAATCTCCTGAGGAGGCTTCAACTCGCATACAGACCGTTGATCTTGAGCATCACAAATGCGTTTAACGTACAAAAGATTAGCTGTTTGCTCCTCCAATGCTTGGAGCTTTGTGAGGCAAAAGCAGCAAGCTTGTGGTGGAATCAGATTCAGAAAACATCAAAAGGATTGGCGGCTTTCCCAAAAGACCGCCACCATCAACCACTAGCAGCAAAGCTGACAACGTTGCATCCAAACCCATGCAACAAAAACGAGCATATATAAGTCACATAAGTTCCCACTAATTGCTTCATCACAAGAGAGAAGGAGCCAAAAACATCATCAAAATCGCAGAAATGATTGAAAGAGGCACAAAGGCTGAAATATGAGACTTTGTGGCTGACAATAGACTGAAAATATCATCCTGTTTGACCCCCACAATGCATTGTTATGATACTTGTGACTCCTGTTGCTTCTGCCCCGCCATGTCTCATTGCATTTCATAAAACTTCTAATTCTATTTGTGCACCTCCACTCGGTATATACTAGTTTCTTGTATGTCAAGTGCTGGCTGCCAGCTGATGTCGGTTCACGTGTTCAAGGTACCCAAGGCTGAATGCTGCTGGATTTGGATTCAAGAAAAACGTGTTGTTGGAAAAGATTTGAAAGCCGTGGTGCTCTACTATACTATATATATGTGTATTTAATCTGTAATGTATGTAATTAGACTTGAAATTTCTACAAGTATGTCATATCTTCCCATGAACATGAAACGCTCAGTACGTTTGTTACAGCAATTTGCCTAAGCTCTAGACAGCCACCAGGTGCCAGAATCCAGCCCTTCTGAAGCGTCGAGGCCGGACCGATGCCGTCAACAAAATCGACCTCACCTCGGCTCAGTCGCCGCGTTTTCCTTCGCATCCAACGGTGTGAATTGCTCGTGTGATACGGCTCATGGCTCAGTCGGAGGCCTTTGCTGTCACTGGTGTCCGCAGTGGTCGGCTGGGGATTTGACACAGGCTGGACAATGCTTGTGCCTAGAATTTGGAAGCTCGGTACAAACACAAAGGATGTGCAGAACTGTACGGCTATTCTTCACGTTTGGGTAATGACTCAAAGTATCCAAGGTCACGTCTGGAAATCCAAATTGATCCTGAAAAATACACAACAGGTCATCCAAATTGTCATAAAGGCATAACAGGGCTGTGTGTTCCATAAAACTCTTGGTCCTCCGGAGCCACATGCAGCGTTCTCATCATCGTCAGATTCATCTGGAGCAACACCAGCAGCAGACAGCCTGGCCCGTGCAATGGATCCAAGTGGAGACATGCTGCTGTGAAATGCAGAAATCCCAGCCTGTCATGCCAAATGCCAAACTCAAAAAGCTAACATTATCCTTCTTGTTCCGTGAGTAAAGGGGGGCGGCACAAAAATAGAAACCTGCTAAAACCTGTGGTGAGTTCAAGCGTGGCACTGAAGCGTGACAGCAGTACGTGCCATTCAAACGGATTTCGGACTCCACCTGAATCCGGATGCGCCCTCCTCCAGCCCCACGCTTTCCTGCCGTACCTCTCGAATAGCAAAGCGCGCAGATTGCGGCTTCGTTGGAAGAGAGCGAGTTGTCTTCAAAGCGAAAACTGCTTGCCAAAGCAAAGCGATGCGAAGCGCCTCCTGCGCGGCCAAACTCCCAGGGCGCAAAAGGGTCGCCATGCTGCGGGGAGGAGGTCAGGCGTTTTGCAAGCTGAGCATCGTCGACACAACTGCCCCCGGCTGTGCCTCTGGGAACAAATTTGCAAGTGTTGGCATCCACAACAAAAGCTCATGAAAAGAGTAAGATATAAAAACAATAACAATAAGCTACTAGGAACAAGTGCACCGCTTCTAGTAACAAGTGCCTTACTAGTAGTAACAAGAAGCTAGTAGAAACAAAATGGTCCAAACAAAGTTAAGGGTTGATACCGTTCATACCCACTGCATGCCCAACCATCGACATCAATCGACCATTCGATCGGTCCTCCCAAGCCGCCGTGCGAAGCTCCTCGCTGCGGCAGAGCCAAACCAAGGCTTCCGGTGTCCAACATATGTGAGGTCCCATTGGTACCTGTCGGCACGACCAAGCACAGAGCTCAGAGCTCTAGATTTTGTTTCACAAACCTGTCTCCAAGGTTTGCACTGATCTCGGAGGTGTCCGAAATGACCACCTCAAGCCAGACAAACTCAGGCAGGTCTCACGTCTCTTTTGATCCTTCAAAACTGAGAGCCTAGCATTCTTTGCTTGAATCACAACAGTGGGGCAGTGGAGCAACGAGCCTCCGTTCAGCTGTGCCAGCTGAAGACCGCGCAAATCAAGCACGAAAAATCGACTGAAGGACCTCGCCTTCTAGCAGACTCAATGTACCTGCGAAACTGGTCCGATCGGGCGTTACGCTTCTAGCCTGATGACTCCCTTCGACTTGCACCTTGAACATAGATCTCGATCACAATGTTCTCAACAGATGAAAGGCGGGGTGTGCACTGCCACCAAGCCCCTCTGAATTGTAAGTGTTTGATGCTTCCTGTCAAGCAGCTCAGTTGCCGGTCAAAACTTCAAAGCACCAATTGAACACAATTGAACTGCGCCTGACAGTCGGACAACCTTCTTGCTAGAGAACGTTCGGTTTGTACTCACCACCTCGGCAGCATTTGCAGCGCGTCGTCTGACGTCGGGGTTCTCGACACTCAGGTCTTTGAAGCTGAGCTCCACTCACAGGTGCTTGCTCTCTGACTCGTGCAGATGCCTCTCCAAGACCAAGCGACAGGAAGTTCACTCTCATGAGAATCTACGATGAGGTGTTGAGGGTCCATGTTGAAAGGTCAGCTGGCCGCCAATTCCAAGGGCAGCTGCCAAAGGCATAAATGCCAGCATAAACCTGGCAAATGAGCTTCCAGACTCCATGACTGTCGCATCAAAAGTTGATGGTACCACCTCAACATGGGTGGCCATGAAGCGCCAATTCCCAAGGTTTTTGCAACTCACAGAGCAAGAGGAACGAGCCAAGTTCTGCTGAGTAGAATTTGTGGTGCGTCAAAAACTGTGTTGCGATGGAGAAGAACTTGCCACCGAATTGTGAAAGTCTGGTGTTTCCCGTGTTTGCTACTATTCTCAATCAGATCTATGGCTGTCTTATTCAAGGCAAAAGCATGATTTGCATTGTTTTGCAAGAAAATGGAGCCAAAGGCCTGATCACATTGATTGCGGGCGGCTCCACGTAAGAGAGATGATTTCGTTTGTATGTGAATTTAATGGATGGTAGAATTCCGGATAATCCCTACACAAGGGACTCAAAGGCCCAACAATCTCCCTTCTTGGCTGCCCTTTGACATGAGGTGCAGTATGATGCAGTAGCTGGGTGGTCAAGTTGCCAGGTTTGCAAAGGGTGACCACAACCTGAAAGTGTGCTGTACTTGATCTCCTTTAACATCTTTAACCTACAAAAATCTTCCAGTTTAGGCCGTTTGACCTTGACACAAACAAAGTACTTAACTGCGCCCAGCTCACCCTAGAAGCTGCCTATGCCTTGTGAGCAAGAACTGGCAAGGCCAGTAAACTTGAATTTGATGTCAGCTCCACTCGCACGTTTCTCTTCATATGTTGTATGCGTTACTATTGTCGACTTCTTCTTCTTCCTCACTTTCATCGTAAGATGCCTCTGAGCCTACAGCAATCAAAAGGGCAGAAGGAAACACTTGTGCCAAGGCAGCAAAACTCCGGGGTGCCTTCGTCGCTCTCTCCTTCGGCATAGGGTTTCGGGTCTTTGACAGGTGGGCCCGTACCTGGCAGAGTTTGAAAAGTCGAAGATTGTTGACAAGATTCACAGAGAGTCTAAGGCATATGAGTGTGTATTAGAACAGGGAGACCTCCCAGTTCGACCCCTCTCCGGAAGAAGGGAAATGGACCAAAACCCATTGGGCCAGGGCGTCCCCTATCCAAATACACACACATATCATCTTGGGAGCCAGGCCATATTTCTTGTCGAACTCTGCTAGTATGGCTGCATGCTCATCGCCCTGGTGGCAGTCGTAGAACTCTGAAAAAGAATTGTTAAAGTTCTGGATCTAGAAGTTGCTTGGCTACTTGATGCTACTTCTACTTTTGGCTCCAGAGCCTCTTGCCTGTCAGCATTGTTTCCATTCACTATTTGGGTACGTTGCGCCTTCGCCTTGGCCGTGGCCGCCACATCCTCCTTCTCAGTGGCTACGGCCTCAAGCAGCTTGCCGAGCCATGTCTGTCTGTGCAAAATATGCCTGTCTGTGTGTGTGCGCGCGTGTGAAATGCATGGAATCACTGGAGGCCTTTTGCCTTGTTTCTTTACCTTTTCCAGTTTGTTCCTATCAGCGGGGGCATGCGGCCATTCCGCAAACGCACGCCAACAAACCTATGCGTAATGGTGGAAGCCGGACTTGATCAATCCGGTCTACCTGCTGGAATGACGACTCTTCGCTTCCTAAGAAGTCCCAGTTATAACTAGAAAAGGCACTCTGGCCTTTGTGTCGGTTCTTTGGAGCTTGAGTCTTTGGAGCTTGAGCCTTGTGGAAACTTTGGTAGCTTCGAGATGGTAGGACCACCCTACATAATTATTGCATATTATTACTTGGCTTACTCAGGACCCTTTCACTCAGGTGTGTGTGTGTGTGTGTGTCACACTCTGTTTCTAAGAGTTTTTCCACAAGCAGGGGGCATGGCAGCTGTTTGCCTAGCCATGCCAACGAAGCTATGGGATTCAGCCGGAAGGGAATGTGGACGCACATTCCTGTACCTGCATTGTGATACAACTCCAATCTTCGCCGCTTTTCTTTGCTTTCATGGTCTTTGCATGATATGCCCCTAAGCCCTTTTCCACCTGATGTGTCGCTGCGCCACCGCAGTTTGCCGCGATTTTGTTGACTGCCGAGTGCAAACAGTTGTTCAACATGTCAAGTGCGCTGACCTTATCGCCATTCCGTTCCCTCACCTTTTCGACGTGGAACAGAGTTAACTGCAAACCCATTATCTAAGTGTGTGTGTGTGTGTGTTTGTGTAAGTGCCACGATGTACCATCGAGGTCACACAAGCCCCGCCTCGGCGCGGGATGCTTCTTGAGCTTTCACCTTTAAAGCTCCGAGAAACTGTCTCGGGAACTCTGTCTCGGCTAATGAAACTTGGTTTCTTCTGTGTGATTGTTCTTGTTTGGACTTTTAGACCTTCAGCCCGTTCTTCCTTCCGATTTTTCCTCAGAGTAGACTTCTACGCTTCTTCGAACCTCAGCTTCACGATGAAGGCGCTCAGAGTCATCCCTGGTTTCTTTGGCCTTGGTGCACACGTAGCACCGCAGAATCGGATATTAGAAGCACCACACACAAGCGCTGAGCAAGCTCTAAGGAGGGTGGCTTCTTGAGTCAGCGCCATGATCTCTTGCTTCTTCATTTCAATCTGAATCGATGGCGTCTCAGCGACTCTCGATCCCCCAAGAACTTGACGAAAGACACAACAAAAGGACAGCGACCATGCAACAATTGAAGGGTCTGCTTATGTGTCTATCTCTATATATATAATATGTGATTACTTATATGTGTTGAAGATTTGAGCGGTCAAAGGCTGCAGCTTTAGGGATTCTAACTTGGTCCACAGAACCTACATAGCCTTCCGCTCATCAATCCTATGTGCCAAGAATACACTACAGCTCTGCGGGCCTCCCTCTTGAGCTTCTCCACTCTGGCTGCCTCGCATCACGGCTTCAAGCACACTTAAGCACTCATCCATCCGCCTTTTGCATGTTGTGTTTCATTGTCCTGTCTGTGCTTCCTTAATCCTCAGTTCTGTATCACGTTTACTTCATGTCTTCCTTCTTCTTCATGAATTCAGCAAGAATGCTTAATCCTTGCCACTCTTCATCGGGCCTTGTCAGTTGCCTGCTTCTTCACCGAGACAGCTTCTTGACGCTTGGCAGCAGCTTGCTCTTTGGCTTCCTGGAATCTCTCCAAGCTTGACAAAGACTGTAGAATGGAGAAGCTTCGCATCTGCGAAAGCCTTCCCACATCCGTCCTCTGCATCTGCAAAGGCTTCGCCTGCTGCAGACATGGTCTCAGCTACCTGGCTGGCCAAGGGAAAGGTTTCTTTTTCCCGAAAGCATTGCGAAGGGTTCTTCCGGAAAATCCCTTGAACACTGACACTTCGACACTTACACTTACACACTGACATTTCCACACTTACACACACACGCACACTGGAAGAGCGAAAGCATCCAAGTGCGAAGTATGCCAGTGTCAAAGTATGCAAGTGTAAGTATGCAAGCATGATATGCAAGGGTGAGTATGCAAGATGCAAGCATGCAATGAGTAGGCAAGTGTGAGTGTGGAAAACTAGCACGGGGGATGTCCTAATGAAAAACATTTCC